GGAGGCGCAAGCCCACACTGGCGACCGTGGTGGGCGTAGGGCCGAGTGGGCACAGCTGCCTCCCGGTGGGTCCCACCAAGCCTTTCTGGTCTCAGGAGGGCGGGTGGGGGCGCCCCCACCCCACCCCCACCCCGCCCAGCAATGACTCGCCTGCCTTTATCAAAGCAAACCTTCTTCCCTGGTGGGAGATAAGCCCCAGAGGAGTCCCTGGGGCCGGGCGGGCGGGTGCAGGCCCTGGAGGGGGCTGGGTGTGGAGGGGAGGAAGCGCCCAGGGCAGTGGCCGCCCTGTGGGGAGAGGCGGAGCGGGAAGCGGACTGGCGGGCAGGGCCCACGGCTGGAGGGCTGCGGGCAGGCCGGCCCCTGGCCACACCCTGGCGGGGCTCAGGAGCAGAGCAGGGAGGCCCAGGCCCCACCGCCTGTTCAGTAGGTGAAATGTCACGGCAGCTGGCCCCGGCCCTGGCCCCTGCGCTCGGAGGAAGTGATTTCCCCCGACAGCTGGGGGACACGCGGGGCTCAGAGGTCAGCTCCAGTGCTAGAGGGACATTCCGGTGCACGCGAGAGCCGGACGCAGACGCACACTGAGAGACTCCGGCACGGACAGGCGGAGGGTGGGGGCGCGACCCCTCGTCTGCCAGACTGCAGCTGCTGCGTCACCTGCGGGCTGCCGGGTTTGTCCGGCGTCGGGTGCGTTAGGGGGAAGCTGCCCTCCGCCCTCAGGGCGGCCCTCTTTTTCGTGGCTGTATAGTACTCCGCCCGCCCACAGCCCGCGAGTGGCTGCGTCCTCCGTTGATGAAGCTCTGCCCCATCCTTTGCTGTGAAAAGACGTTGCAAGCGCGGTTGCTGGTGGTCTTTGTGCATGTGGGCGCGTGGACCGTGAAGTGGACTCCGGGAGTAAAGCTGGTGTGAAGGGTGCATGTGTCCTACAGCCGTGCGCCGTCCGACCACAGGGATGGTGAGAGAAGCCTCGTTGGGGATCTCACCTCGGGGGGAGGTCACAATGTCCTCCCAGCGCTCAGTGGTGCAGCTACCCCCAGGCCGGCGGCACAGCCTCTTGGGGCCAGTGTGACCCGTCCCTGACGGGGCCGTTGCTAAGGTGCCCCCCCACACACAGAGGTAGTGCCCCCCGAGAGCGGTGCCCACACGACCTCCAGCTCCCCTGCGTCCTGTCCGAGCCCGCCGGCCCTATGGGGGG